CTGTGATCCCTCGGCACTCTGGGCCGAGGTATTTGTCCATCGTGAGCTCACCGAACGGACATGGCTTGGTGGCAATGACGGCTGCCTGGCAAAAGGTAAAAGCAGATGGCGCAATTCCCTCACTTTGGTCAAGTCATGCAAATTTACTTACCCTGTTGCAATTATCTACTTTCACCCTGGTGTATATAGTCGACTCCTTTGAAGCAAGCGGGCAGCTTGTTCTCGGGCCTTTCGGGGGCCGTGGCAAGGAGCTTGGGCGTTTCCTGTTAGGCGGTGCTTGCCAACAATCCACTCATGACTCCATTGTCACACAGCACGTCAGCCTTCCAAACGCCCTTTGCAGAGGCATGGGACAGGCAGTGTCCTACAACTGCACTTCAGTTGAAAGCTCAAGAAACTGTCTCGAACTTTGAATGTCTGCAATCTTGCAGGGCATCGTGGGAAGTGCAAGGTCCTTTTGGCAACAGCCACACTGTTTGGTCCGCAATCTTTTTCTAGACATCTCGCGCGAGCTCGACGTGCGCTGAGGACGTGCCAGTGTCGCTTTTTGTGTGTCATCTGGATGGCAAAGGCGGGTCCGAATAAAACAAAGGGGAATTCGTGCTGATGGATGGTTTCATTGGGCGAGAGGCTGCCGGCCGCCCCATCGGCTGCCCTTTCTTCAACATCAGTCGTTTAGGGGCAAGATCCAGGAAGAAGCACATCAACTCAAAGACATCCTGGGGTGATCAAGAATCTCAGGATAGTTGGGGGGGTTGCCCGGAGTCATGGTCAGGCGGTCAGGAGTTTTGGCCTAACCACTGCAAGTCGCCTGAATGATGAGCCCCACTGCCCTCAGCACAATGCTTCTCTGTCTCGGCAGAATGTCCAGAAACCCAATATGATTGGCTTAGTTTCACCCGGTTCGTACGGGTGCTTGTTTCGGGCGAAGGAGAGTCGTCCTCCCAACAAGCGGACAGTTGCTGGCTTGGCTTCTCCTGTGTTTGCTGGATGCACTTGGCCGTGGGTCATAACGAATGGTACCATTTTGGGTAGGTGCACCAGGGGTACGGGATTTTGACCCATGGCCACTTGACAAACTTAATGTTGGATAAATGCCTAGGCCTAGACATGCTGTTTGCATTTTCAGATGCAAAATCTCGGTGTCCATGTGGACCGTCAATCGAAAATGCAGCTCTGGTGTCTAAAAAGGAAGGATGCCCTGATGCGAATGGTGGCCCATTGGGACACACCGCTTGCAGGTACCGATAGCTTCGCGTCATCCAGCACTGAGGCGCATTGATCGGTGATGTGAATGGCTCTCAACATGGGCGTTGGAGGCCACCCTTTTGCGGTTGGTTTAACAGGAAAGCAAAGGGAGAACCACCGTTTTTGGTCACCCTATTGTGGCACGCTATGCCGATACAGTCAACATTTCCTCCATGTAGTTCACGTTCTTGAAGATGGTGCAGTCGTTGCTGCCACTCTTGCTGCTGTGCCTTCTTGTTGGTTTGTTGCTTGCCGATAGGTGTTGTTACAGGCCAAAGTCAGGCGTATCTGACTTCTCAGCGCCATCATGCAGTGATGCTGCTGCACAATGCACATTATCGGTTGAAAGAGGTTGATGTAATCTACGCATTGTGTGATGTGCTTTATCCAAGGCACCTTGTGCAAGCTTCACGATAGACCTGGTTTCTTGGGGTGAGTGTCAATAGGGATTTTAGACAGCCATTACAAGGGTTTCCACAAGGGCAACCATGACCATGACCCACAATAATTGGCGGAGGTTTGGCTCTGGCAGATGATGCCTTGTTAGCTGCAGTAGGTCCTGCCCAGTCTGTGCGGAGATACCTTGGCCAGACACCTGACATGGTCATGTGGGGCTAGCTGCATCACAGCAGGGTTTCATTCCTTTTGACAAGGCTGGCGCTGGGCACGGTAGACCTGTTGCTGGGTGGTCGGAAGCCATCATGCTTCCCTCCATCTGGCGGTTTGGATTGGTGGGTTGGAGGTTGGGGGTTGCCCATCGGATGTTCAGACTTGCCGCTCGCATGCGCCGAAAGAACCGATCCACTAGATCCGAGTCTGCCAGGCCTGTGAAGAGAGTTTGAAGACGAGGTGGGGCATGATGGACTTGATTGGAAACCAGGTGGCGGTGGGTCATTTGTTTTTAACCAATATGGAATTCTGGTAAATGGAAGCAAGGACTACAACCTGCAGTCCCCCGGTGGTTTGATTTTGACCCATACCCAGGTGTTGTTAAGAAAAAATCAGTCGCCTTGCAACAAACTCTGCGTGTTTCTTGGTGCTTTTCTGGGCTTTGCACGCTAAAAGAAAGCTTGCTCTACACTCTCCCAGTTAGTTTTGGGTGTGGGCCCCGTGGGAATCATTTTTTCTCCCAGAAGGAAAGTAGTCTTACACTAAGACTTCCTGTCAACTTTCATCATTGTTGGAGCGAGTCGATTTGTTCAGTTGCCCCTTCCACGTGGCTGAGAGTCCGCAAGACTTGAACAGCTTGGGC